CTCCACTCCGCTTCGCGCCACACTATATGAAATCCTCTCTCTTGACTCTCTTTCTCCTCGAATAAGACTCGGCAATTACTTCTAATACCCAGAATGAATTATTCGATTCGTTCCGGCGCTATCCGCGTCTAGCTCTCGCCTCCGCTCTTCTTTGGTCTTTGTTAACGCGACTACTCGCGCGCGACGCCGCGCGCCGCAGTCAATTTGCAGCGATTTATACTCCTGTTCCTGTACGAATAATTCGCCAAAAAGCGGAGGCAACGAGATACGACTCATGACACGAGAAAATTTCAAAGACAAAGTCGGTAAAATAATATGTACTGTATACCAAAATACAATAAATAATTATTATCTACTTTAAAATAAAAGTTTTTACTATTTTGGATTGAAATCTCTAAGTCTTCAATGAGTATTTCAAATGTGTGATCTTTTTTGGATATCGAAAAATTCATTTTCTCGCAAAAGTGTCTGATCAACAAAATTTCCACTCAATTTTACGCTCACACACCTCGATACTTGAAATATATGAAAATACAGGTTCCATTAATTGTGGTTTTACTCACGGTTTCACCTGAATCGCGTTTTAATTTGAAGTGATATGTTTCTATTTTTAAATCTATATAGCGACAACGCGGAAATATTTTTTAGTCAACAATTCAGTCAACCTATAGGTATGCATTTTACTATAAGTTAGCTTAGAAAAATTTTAAAACAAAATTAAATATACTTAATTCTAGACAATAGTGTATTTATAGTGAAAAGAAATAATAATATTTAAAAATGAGATAAGTAGTATATATTATAAAATAAATTTATAATATAAATTGCTTTGAAAAAGTTATGCAACTTTGTACAAATTATATTTCTATTTTATTAATTATTATGTCTTCTACTTTTGCAGACAAGACAATGAAATTTACAATATCATTAGGTAATATTAAACTCAAAGAAAGTGACGTGTACTTAATATTACGACACTTCGTTTTCCAGCGAGAACTGGCTCTAGCTTTCGCGAGATTTCGAGATCTCGCTTTGGCGAATGAGAGAAAGAACGTTCTCTCTATATATCGCAGCGACAGGATCTCTAATTGGCGGCCGTTCGAAAAATCGTACCGGTCGGTTCGATCCCGGCAGTCAGCAATTAAAAGGAATGTCGTCCCCGCCGATATGCATCTTGTCGTTGCTGGTCGACCAGCCTAATCACGCGCTCTTGTTGCCCGCGAGCGTCAAAGGGAGAGCCAGCGACTCCCTTCCTTGTACGTTTTGCAATTGAATTGCGCATATGGCGCGTTTACGTTGTTCGTTTAAGCGCGATTATTCAATTATTTTAGCTGTTTGCATAAAACTTTTGTGAATATACGTATATTTATCAGCCGCGCAAAATAACAAACGTAAACAAAACGATTTATTCCATATATTTGTAATATATTATCAATTTAATATTAACTTAATTAAAACAAAAAGAAAGTAGTGTTAAGATTTTTAGGAATGTTAATTTATTATTTGGAAGAAAGACTCGCGAACAACAGCAAATGAAAGGTAGAACTTTTATGTAATAGGTTTTATTAATTTTTGCAAACATTATTGATTCGTTATTTATAGAAATAGGGTTAATTAGCCGAGTGACGCCGTCAAGATGATAAACGAAAAGTGACAAGGGCTTCCGTCAGCTTGTTATATACTTGTAATCCCATCATTGGATTACATCGAGAACGATGCAAACGCGCATCAGTCGTCATTGATGGACGCTAATGAAACATGGTTAGGTAATTAGAAACCGAGTTAAAGTTGCGGAAAAATTGTATTGTTAATTACGCTAATGCCTAATGAAACACGTAACGCCGAACAAATTGCATTGTTATTGCATTGGTGTGTGTAACCGAAAAGTTTGATTGCGTGTGATTTGTTTGAATAAAGGCTTTTATCGAGCGATCATCGAACGCGATTAATCAAACGCGATAATAATGGCCCTTGCGAAACATGTGGCTGCACGGCAGAAATTATTTAATCTGACAATGAGATACCGTCATAAATAACGTAACACGATTACGAAGTAGAGTATACTTGCAGCGAGACGATTATATAACTAAAGAAAGTATAAATTGTGATTTAAGATATTAATAGAAAGCAGGTAAAAATGAATTTAAAAAAAAAATTAAAACAATATGTTTAGAAGATATTATTTTACTGTATAAGATATTAATTGTTATTTAAGAAAATAATACACATATGATGTATCTATATGTGTAACACAATAGGTATATTAACATGATTAGAATCAAAAATTAATTTCGTCATTTGAAGACCTCTGAAAATCGGGACGCATATCATGTAACTAACTAAAGATTTTAATAATAGGTGTCGACGCAGATTGAATCGAAACAGACAAGAGACAAAGACTGTGTAAAGGCGCCGTTTACGGCTGCGAAACGCCCATTTCGCGCCGATATTAATATATCGCTGGGGGTAAGACGTCGCGGCGGTGGTGGCAGTTGCAACACGCGCCACAGCGCGGGCGCCCGACGTCGCGTCGGTACGCGTCGACCGTGGCATTAATTTCCGATATTGCTCTCGTAAATATTCGCGACTCGCCGCCGACCATCCTCGTCGGATTGAAATATCTCTCTTTTTCTGGATTCGACATTGCCAGCGCGCGTCCCTGTTGGAGGATCATTTTTTATATATCGGTTCTCAGGATCGTAGATATACCCACGAGACAAGATTCAAAATGGTTCTAACAATAAGAATAAAAAGAAGCATTCGCTTTACGGTATATTTTTATTTTTAATTATATATAGCTTGATAAATTAGTTTTATGAAAGTGGTAACAGATAGAGGAAAAGAAAATTATTATTTGTTGAAGGTTTGCATACCGCATTCTTCAAGAAATTGAAAAATTCCTTAATTTTATATTTCATGAAAACGTTGAGTCAATTTTATTATTATAATCGCAGATTATTTATTCTTACCTTCTTCTCTCGTTTTTGTCTTAAAAATTTTGTTATACTTTATTTCATTTTTCTATTAGCAATAGAGTTCTAGGGTCTTCCCCTATATATACGGTCCTACAAATTCGGTTTCAATATATTAGGGGAAGATTCGGGACAGGAAGGATATCCTAAAATGCATCTGCGGCAGGCCTGCATTTTGTCACGTAAAAAATAAAATTTCTTTTTTAATAAAGGATATTTATGTATTGGGAAACATTCGGCATTATAAAAAACATATTAAATTATAATATATAGATAATATATCAAGTTAATACATTAATTATTAAATTAACAATATAGAATCTTTTATCGATAAGTTATATGATTTATTGAATCCATTTTCTGTACATTTACTAAAACAAATCTTTTCAAAATTTATTAATTAAATCAGTCGTTTATTTGCTATCACAAAAGCGAAGAAGGAACTTTTTAACTAAAAAATCACTCAATCATTATTTTCTACACGTCAGGATTCGACGCAAATTTTGCGATTCGTCATGTACTCATCACGCGCACACAAACAAAATAGAAATTTATAAAATGCTTTGTGTGTGTATCGCATAATTTAATCTGTTACATATCTCGCTCGCATTGTGCCTTCCTCGGGTATTATTGTATCGTGTCCCTGCACAGCAGGCACAAGATTGGATCTTTCGCAGTTCGAGAGAAAGAATGCAACGAGAAAGGTGTGTCCCGCGAGTCGCGTTGCACCAGCTGTGCGTGCGATGCAAATGGATGTGCGAGACCCACCGTTACTATATTATATGTATATAAATCGGGAAACGAACCTGACTCATGAACTATACTGTATTGAACTCATGAACTGACTATACTAAATTCTAGTATTAGATAGTAGAGATATTCTAAAAGATCGTATTATTAACGTAACTTTTATCGTATATAATAAATCTTGCCTTGTTAAAATGTTAAAAATTTTTAAGAATTAGCAAGTAACAATACCATGTAGTTTAGTTAAATGTTGGTATATTTAACGTTATTTGATAATGTACTTTGATACTAATTAATTAGGCTATTGCAATTCAATTTACTTTTGATGACAAAATAGTTCTTGAATATAGGTTGAAAAATATTTATACCAAATAATTATTTATTTATATCTATTTTTTTGTAACTAACACTGCATGTATATAGGCCCTTTCGCTTATCCATCTAATCCGTTTAATTTTTTTACTTTTCTTCTTCTTCCATCGGATATAATAAGTAAATTAAAAGACACATTGAGAAGTTGCGATCTGCGAGTGAGAGGTAAAACCAGTTCGTTATCCTTTTCCTTATTCTTTTCGCAGCCTTGAATCTTATAGTAACCTGCAGCTACGTTCTCCACTTCGTGGGCACTTGAGTCAATTGGCAGCTGCAATTATTTTAATTGCGGCAAAATAGATGATATATTTAGGACAAAGCGATGATTTATGCGGGATGTGGATATCGGATAGCCGGGTTTAGTGTTAAACGTGTGGCGCGAATACGAGTCAAAGGCCGTTTCTCTGCCAAGCCGGTTATATTCGCAAGGTTTATGGACGGTACTTGGTAATTCGAGCACAAGAGTGTGTACATGACGTTATAATGGACCTTATGTATGGTTCTTACGCATTTATATACATATGTCAAAAAGCTACTAGTTGAAAGGAATTTAACTACGTATTTAATTGTTGATTTATGCATTTACCGGATTAGCTGACCGAATTGGCTGACAGGATTGTTAATTAATTAATGATTTAAGAAAGATAATTTATGTTATTAGCGATAAACTTGCTTTATACCATATTTTATTTAAATTTTTGTCAGTTTATACTTAATAATATTTTTTTCTTATGTTTGTATATATAATAAATTTATTTTTATAAAATAATTTTTTCTTATAATTGTTTTTTTTTTACAGAAAAATGTCTTAATAAATTTACATTTTTTATATGTATTCTCCGAAAATGTATTTTGTAAATCAAAAATATATGAAACAAGAGCTGACAACAGAATCCCTTTTCATTTCAGGCTGCCGTCGCCCTATAACAAGCAGTCGTCAGGAGTTGGCGTCGCAGGGGGTGGCCCTGGGGGTGGTACAAGTATACCCCTGCCCGCGACCGTCGCCGCCACCAGGAGATGCCCTCCGGACAAAGTCAGACCGGCTCCGGCACCGACGCATCAATCACAACTCGGTAAGTTCCATCAACCCATCTTCCTCACCCTCTTGCCGCAAACTTTTCGAACATTGCCGTGTTTTATAGAAAAACATAAAAGCTTTACTCTCATCACAGAAGGGCAGAAAATGTATTCAATATATTGCATAATGTAATAATATTACATTATCACAATTATTAATAAATTGGTTATCATTTCGTTTAATATATACGTATATTCTAACACACATATATTTAAAATATTAATTTATATTAATCATTTGTAAAAAATTGCTTTGTTTAAAAACCAATTATACCTATTTTCTAAAATAATTTGTTACATTTTATTTACACATTTAAATTGCAATGCACTGGGGAACTGCCAGAAAAATGTCTAATTGGTCTGACATCCCGCGTTATTTATCTAAAATTTGTTTTTGCACGATAAATAAATCAATTAGAGAAAAAGCCAATAAATAACGAAAATTGCTATGAATAAAAGTGGAAAATGAACATGGTAGACAGAATTAAAAAACTAAACGTTACAATTTTTAACAATGATCAACAATTTGCGGCAATACAAAATTTATTATTTATTTTGCGGTGCGATCGTGACAGCATTCGCCACATTTTTGCGAACAAAAATTCATTAGCAAGCGAATATCGTCCACCACATTGATCTTTCAATGGTCAAATGGCTTCATCCCCAACCTGTCTATTTTTTTTCCCAGATCGTCTGTAATATTATCGGTATTTTATTGCATTAATCGTTTTAATTATTTCTGGATTCCTTCTGGATCTAGGCGTTTAAACTTTCTGTTTTTATAGTTTTTAAAGTGAGAAATACGTCTGTAATTAAAAATCGTCTACAATTTAAATCAAAAAAGTTTGTAAATTATTACTGCGACTGCTAATTTAAAATATTATGAAATTGGACCGATGATTATGAAAATACGCAGAATTATAACTTTCCTCACTTTAAACAATTAGGCTATTCTTTCTTTGAAGTCGCATTTCTCTCGAGACGTAAAGAACGACAAAAGGGAGCGATGTGCACCCGTGTTAAGAACACCCCATTAGCCATTAGCCCCGTGAATAGCTTTTAGCAACCCTTTGCGCATTTCTGGCTGTCGCAAGAGATCCTGGACCACCATGAAAACTCGTCTCCATGCTCCCCCGTTATTGCGAATATATATGGTGGCTTGTACGATAGTATCTTCTTCATGTGCGTTCTCACGTACGCTTTCGTCTCTCATTTATCTCTTTCATATGTATAAGTGTTTATATACAAACGCTATACAAACTTTCCTCTGCTGATATATGCAAATATATAATTTTTATTTTCCTTTCATTCTCTTTTTTTCTTTCCGTATCGTATATATGAACAACTATCGATTTATAGTAAAGAGAGAGAAATAATTGTAAAGAATTAATTGCAAATATATTCTATAATCCAAGTGACTTGTCTAAAAGACAAATGAAATTTGACATAGATATCGACTTTTATTTTTAGCGCTTTTTCCACACAGATATTCGTATTTGCTGTTATCATAATTCTTCCATGTCTATCTTATTTAACTGCACTTAGTCTCTTCCAAAATGATGAATAATCTTCTTTGTCTACCCTCCCTTTTCTCTCTCACGAATGCGTACGATCGTCTATCCTCTCTATTGCGTGCGCGCTGCGCATACGTACAGCGGTATTACCTACAAAGGGGGTGAGGTGAAAGCGGGGGAAACCTGGGGGTATTCCCCGTCCCTGCGAGATGGGGTGGCACCCCATAGTTTATACTTTACTCTCAACTCCCGCGTTTCCACGGGCCAGATGTGCTCGGGCATCCGATTTACAGGGACGCTCAACTTCGAGCCTTTTCTCGGGACAATGGAGGCGAAGGAAAAGAAAGTGAAGGAGAAGACCGGTCTCTCTTCGAGAGAGGGCGATAAAATGCACGCACGAGTCTTTCTCTGCGTTCTTAACAGTCGTCGGGTTCGCTCTCTGGTTCAATTGCTTAGCGTGCCGTTGCGAAAAATGCGAATGCTAACCGGTCCTTGTCGTCTGACGAGGAGATTTCCCTTTTTTCTGCTAACGGGGAACCTGGTGCCCGCCATTACAGCGATCAATGAGAACGAGATAAGTCGTTCATTCCATGTTGTCTCATTCATATATTTATACAACGCATCGTCATAAGACTTTTGTTTGAGGATTTGAAAGTGAAAATAAGGCAAATTAATTTATATATGATATATAGGTATTAAATAATACATAATATTTTTACTTATTTGTTATTAAATTTTGTAAAAATATATTGGATTTATTGAATATACAAGATATCGTCTTTTTTTAAATTTATGATAATAGTAATAATAATAATTAAATATTTTTGAAAATGTATTTTAATTTATTTTTTCATATAGATTTTAATATTGCTTTTTCAATTTTCTACATTGTATTTTTTTTTTTTATAATACAAGTCCACTGAACGATGAGAAGAATCTCATGCTCTTATCACTTACATGGTTGGGCACCTCTGGCGCGTAGCTTTATGAGGGGATGCTGTACTCTCTCTTCATCTCTCTTTCTCTTTCTCTCTCTCTCTTCGTTTCTCTTGCTATTCTCCATATATCGTGTGATATCAAAGCCCGCGTGTCCATGTGTCTGGATACAGAATACGTTTTTCTATGTTCGAAATAGACTTCCACATCGTACACAAACTAGCCGACTGGCCATAATATACACGTGCACGCGCACATAAGCGAAACGGGGTGCCCTTCTCTCGTCGTGGTTTACGATATTATTTTAGGCTCTTTTTTTCCACTCGGCTATCTACCGCTCATCATGTCGCCATAGTTAACAGCCTAGACGACAACTTTGTCTAGGCGTCTAGGTCAGGGTCTTGATTTGTATCGCTATCTCCCTTTCGATAACATACGTATATTTTTGGATTAGAACATCTTTGGAATTTTCCTTAAAAATCTGTAAATTTTCTATGATGTATTTTCCAAAATGTTCGCTTTATTATAGGTAATTCTTATTTTATACATGTACATAATATCGTTACTATAATTTATACAATTTTATTTTAACAAGTACACATAGTACATTGTTTTTTAAAAATTTATTTTTGAACATATTTATATCTACAATATTTTACTTACAATTAGTTTCAGATTACTTGTGAAAGTTCCACGGAAGCTAATTGTTCGTTAGTGTGCATTCCTTATATCATAACCATTAGATAGCTAATAAAGCAACGTTTGTTTCAATTAGATAGGATTACGCATTACTCGCCTACGCACATATCAATTTCTCTCTGCTTCGCTTTTTTCTGCTTCTCTCTGCTCCGAACTCAACTCAATCCCCATAATCCACTGTGGACCTTCCCAAAGAGATTTCCGGAATGGTGCATGGAAAGAGTCTCGAGCGAATTAAAACGCGTTTAAAGGATACTAACTGCTGGATGCATCATGATTAAAATTCCGCATATTAATTTCTGTATCAAAAAGAAGTAAAAAATTATTTTAAGTATTATTTAAAATTTTATAAGTATAGGATTAGACATTTTATGAATTTATGAATGAATTTATAGTAATCTATCTAATAAATATAAATATTTATTATTGTTTATTTTTTTATATATTAACATTAATATGAATTCATGGTTTGTTGAACTTTACTTGTAAACGAGATTTAATTCCAAGTGCACGTGCGCATTGTGAGATCACCTTAAATCCAGTAATCCCACGGGAATCTCCCAAAGAGACAAACGGAGATAAATAAAAAAGGGAGGAAGAAAGGAGGAAGGAAAAAAAGAACTGAGAGACTCTTTCGACCATTCGTCAGCTCCGTTATAAACTGTCTTTCGTTCCACGGATACGCGCGTGTACAAGAAAAAGAAGGAGATGCTTCCGAGAGAAAGAGAAAACGCGAAAAGATCGGCGTTGAAGAGAAGAGGTTGAAAGAGAGTGGCAAAGGGGGAGAACAACGAGAGAAAATTGAAGTCTCTCAGAGCACACGTAAGACTTGCTGCACCCGGTCTTTAACCCCGAAACATCAGAGCGCTACAGAGATTCTCAACTCTATAGAAAAAAAATTCTTGTTTCTATTTTGAGTACAGGTCATTTCAAATTAGTGCAAAAAAATGAAATTTTTAAGACGTGTAAATGTTCAAATTTACAAATTAACCTAACGTTGTGAAAGCACTTTTAAAAGTGGAATATTAAGAAACCACGTTTATAGTTCATCTGCTCAAATGTCGCAGACATGCATGATTTAATCTTTTTTTGCTTTTATTATTTAAAAAAAATATTTAACATTTTATTTTATTATAATTTATTTATAAATAACAACTATTACTACATGTAATTATTACTGCTATACATATAAATATCTCTCACACAAATTCAAAATGTATAATAATTCACATTAGTCATTATAAATATTTATTATTACTTTTAAAGATTAGAAATTTTTAACACTGATGATCATGCACATGCATATCTTCGAAATTATCTGTATTTTTCCTGTCATTTCTTTTTACATTTAATATCTATGTTTTTATTAGTTTAGGATTTGAAATCTATTTGAAGTATATCTATATATCTTTTGAGCATCACTGAACATGGACATTCAGGGACTCTTAAATCTTTCTTTTCCTCTCGCCTTTTTTCGGTCTCGCACGAGTTAAAAATACTATCTTATACATTCGGATACCGGTTCGGTACAGGTTTCGAGAATTAGCCTCTCTCGATAAACCCGCTACACTCATTTGAAACATAGGTTTGCGAAGGAGATGGGAAGAAAAGACGGCGATGACGCAAAAAAAAATTATACATAGTAAAAATGTGACGCGATTGGCAGCATTTTACCGGGAATTATGTGTATAATTGATGGGATAATCTGAAATTATAAATAACTCGAAGCTATTATTAGCACAAGCGGCTCTTCTTCTTTGCAAGGTCTTCGATCTCTTGTCCCTTCTTCCTCCTTCTTCTCTTTTGTTTAACATTCTTAACTTGAAGTCGGTTTCAAAAGAGAAGAA